GCTCAATGGGCTCATGATTCCTCAGGTCATCAGGGCAGAGATGCCACCTACAAGTGGGCACGAGACCGAGGGGTGGATCTAACCATGGACAGTGTTTCCCAGGTTATCCATGACTGTGAGACGTGTGCTGCCATCAAACAGGCCAAGAGAGTGAAGCCCCTATGGTATGGTGGGCGGTGGTCCAAGTACAAGTATGGGGAGGCCTGGCAGATTGACTATATCACACTGCCCCAGACACGCCAAGGCAAGCGCTACGTGCTGACCATGGTGGAAGCCACCACTGGATTGCTGGAGACTTTCCCTGTACCTCATGCCACTGCCCGGAACACCATCTTAGGCTTGGAAAAGCAAGTCCTGTGGAGACACGGCACACCTGAGAGAATTGAGTCTGACAACAGCACCCATTTCAAGAACAGCCTTATCAACACCTGGGCCAGAGAACATGGTATCGAATGGATATATCATATTCCCTATCATGCTCCGGCTGCCAGCAAAGTTGAACGGTGCAACGGACTCCTTAAGACTACCCTAAAGGCACTTGGTGGGGGAACATTTAGAAACTGGGAAATTAACCTGGCAAAAGCAACCTGGATGGTCAACACCCGAGGGTCTGTCAATCGAGCTGGCCCTGCCCAGTCAGAACCCTTACACACAGTAGATGGAGATAAGGTCCCTGTAGTACATATGAAAGGTATTTTAGGGAAAACTGTTTGGATTAATCCCACCTCAGGCAAAGACCAACCCATTCGTGGGATTGTCTTTGCTCAAGGACCTGGTTACACTTGGTGGGTAATGCAGAAAGATGGGGAGACCCGCTGTGTACCACAGGGAAACTTGGCCTTAAGAGAGAACTGGGTGTAAGATTTCATGGTGTGCAGATAGAAATAGAATAAGGGGTGGATAATGTCCTGGGTTGTAAGATAAGCTTGTATTCTATTTGCCATCTGTGGAAAGGTTGGGCAGGTTTTGTTATCTCTCCCAAAGACAATGGTTTGCCCCGTAGAGGCAATGGTTTGTTTATACACTATTGACTGACTCACTGCCGGGCTGGTAAATGTAACACCATCCCATTGTGAGAGGTTCCACCCAGAGGTGGAGGCCAAGCACTCCTTTATGGTATAAGCGGGTACCTTTTTGGGGACAGAGCAGCTCTCTCTTTGGGGGATTGCCAGAGAAGCAGCTCTCTTTGGCGGCACTCGCAGCGAAGCAGCCGGAGCGCGGTGAGGTGGCGGCGGCGGAGCTCGGAGGCAGCCCCGGCGCAGAGGAAGACCAGCCCCACTGCCACCAGATCTTCAGAGGAAAACTATACCCTTCAAAAGATCACCACTGCAGCTGCAATTCATCAGCCACTGCAAGAGGAGCAGCTATCATTTCCACCGGACTACTACCAGCACCCCGACTCCTCAGGTTGTGGACATTATCACTAGTTTTTGTTTGTACCAATTGCATTTGCCTTTTTAAATTGTTATCTAGTTTTCTCCTAGTAAAGAATTGTTACTCCCATTCCCATATCTTTGCCTGAGAGCCTTTTAATTTAAAGATCCTGGTAATTCGGAGGGAGGGGGGTTTGCCTTCTCCATTGCACAGGAGGCTTTGCCCTCTTTCACAGACTCCTGTCTTGTCAAACCAAGACAAATCCATACTTTTGTGGGCCACCTATGGGCACTGTGATTACTGAGTCCTTTACTTTTGATCTATTGTTGCATAAATCTCTTGAATTTTGTTTACTTTTCATCTAGTTTTCTCCTCACTCTGCACATTTCTCCTTTGGTGTCAATGTCAGGTAACACCCTGGCCACACCAGTCAATTCATGACCAATTTTCCTTTTAGTTCTTGTCAAAAAAACCTTCTCATATGAAAGAAATAGCAACATTTGATTTCTACAGGACACTCTGTTCGGATATATACAACAAAGGACTAATTGGAAGATAAGCTTATTGGAAGATAAGATATACCCCCATTACTCTTATCTTCCCAGGAAATGGTTTTGCCAGGTTGTCCCTGCAATTCTTGGCCCATTAGTGAGTCTTCATCTGAATGAATTGACTCTAGGAAGGACCTCCCCTTTGCAGTTCCCCCATCTTCCTCAACCTTTGCATCATTCTTGCTGCTTTTCTGACTTCCTTCCTTGAGTACCTCAGTGACCAGTGGCTGTTGCCTGCCCTGCAGAAGGTCACACGTATACCCCAGAGTCTGCAGATACTCCTTGTCTGCAAGGATAAAGCATGGGCAGGTAATCCATCCACGCAAACAAGAAGCAATAAATGTTAGAGTTCTAAGCTTTTGTTAACCATGTTGTGTCATGAGATCAGTCACAAAAACTGCTTTGTAGCTGCCTGGTGGCATATGGTACAAACAAATAGCACAGCTGAGAGCCAGCTCACACACAGTTGCTCCTCTGGAATGGTGTCACTGGAGGATGAAGAGGAGTTCTTTTCGCCTCCATCGTGGCCACTCAAAGCCCTCTTGGGGTAGGTAAGAGATGTGCCATTGCTCAGCGGGACTCAGCCTGGGCAGGCAGTGTCCAAACAGCTTCTCTTACAAGAAGTACCTGGGTCTGCTCAGGTAAATGAGCCCAGGTCACCTTGAGGCTGCAGGAAAGCTGGTGCCAAAATGGTGGAGGATCCTTCCCACAGGCACTCTACCTCTACAGATATGCCTCCTTCCTCTGCAGCACCTATGTGAGTCTACCTGCACAGGGCACAGCAGTTTGCAGCAATTGTCCTCTTCACTGGCTGTGACTGCTGTCCATGTCTCTTGTCCATGCTGCAANCTATGTGAGTCTACCTGCACAGGGCACAGCAGTTTGCAGCAATTGTCCTCTTCACTGGCTGTGACTGCTGTCCATGTCTCTTGTCCATGCTGCAAACTGAGCATCTCAACCCACCTTCCCCTCAACCTCCCCTTCACAGTCGGGTTCCCCACAAGCTCATTCTGGCAACCCCTTCTCCTGTGCCCTGTTCCTGCACAGCAAAGAGCTGCATGCTGGGCCTGGAGGAGTGCTCCTGCCTGGGCCCAGAGCACCATGCCTAGATGTCAAGGTGCCAAACACCAGGCACCAACAAAAGTAATTTGCTTACACTCTCCTACGGGTAGGCAAAGGAGAGGGAAAAAAGATGAAGGACTCATGAGTTGAGATAGAGACTAGGAAAAAAACACTCTAAGGGAAAAACAGGTTTAAATTTAAAGGTACAAATTAAATTTATTAACAGAGTCAGAGGAGGATAATGAGAAGTAAAATAAGCGCTTAAACCACCTTTTTTCCCCTCAGCCCCTCCCTTCTTCCCAGCAACAGCACAGGGAGACAGAGTGTGGGGGTTTTGGTCAGTTCATCACTCAAGATCTTCTGTTCATTCAGGGAGAGGAGTCTTTTTTCTGCTATGCCATGGTGTCCCTCCCACAGGCAGTCATCCCAAACTGTTGTGGCTTAGGTCACTCATCCCTTAGGGGTGCAGTCTCCTAAGGATAGGCTGCTCTAGTTTGGAAGCGAGGGGTCCCTATCTCTGGAAGCTGGGGCCCTCTCTCTCTATTCGGCTCTCCCACTGGGTCACAGCTTTCTCTGGCATCCATCTGCTCCAGTGTGAGCACTTTTCCCACAGACTGCAAGTGGCTATCTTCTTTCCTCATGGACTTCATGCATTGCAAGGGAACAGTTTGTTTCACCACAGTCCTCACTACACCTTGCAGAGGAATCTTGGCTCTGACCACTGGAGCACTTATTCACCCTCTTTCTTTACCACTGATCTTGGTGCTGCCATTTTGTTTTCCCTCACGAGTCCTCACTTTCTCTTCTTCTCTGACTAGAAGAACTACTGACAAGAACTACTTGTCAACAAGTTTTACTGTCACTATTGGACACAAAATGAGTATATAGAAGCTTGGCGAGTTCAAGAGAGAAAAGGAGCTAATTTTATTTCTGATCTTGTAATATATATAATTTTAAAAGTGACAGGATTGGAGGATGAAATCATCACCTCTCCAACCACACTGATTGAACCAACAGTCTATCAATTCTCTCCTCCTACAAAGAAGAATACAAAACAATCATTATTTACATGAAAAGTGTGTAAGAATTCTAATAGAAATATGTAAACATTATCAGAAGGCTAAAGAAGTTTTATGAAAACTTTAGCACTTTTAAAAGAACTACAAAAGAAAACTTAACACTTTTAAAAATCAAGGTAACATTTCATTAATTCAAAGATTCCTGCAGGATCCCACAGTGCTGAGAAGCTGATCTCGTCTAGGTTCCACACTGGGGAATCACCCGTCATGCTTCTGCTGCAGCCACGTGGCCCTGCTGCCATTGCTCAGGCAGTGGTGGCTGCCGCGGCGCTGCACCATTCAATGCCTCTCCTTGTGCAGGGCACCGGGAAGGGGAAGCTGCCACCACACCTGCCCTTCTGCCCGTGGCACAGCTGGCTAGGAGTGACCAGGTGAGTGCAGCTCGCCACAGGCCGCACCAAGGTGGCAGCAGCTATGGTGGTGCATTGCTACATGCTACACCAGGGATGGCCCCAGTGGTGGTGTTTTCACTATCCATTGAAAAAGCAGTGTGTGCGCTGTGTCCATTTTCTTCTTAAATATGTAATCACAGAGGTCTTACCAACCGTCTGTAATTGGACCAGCAGCATGTCCATCTTCAGAGCCATCAGAGATTGGCTCTGTCAGACATGGTGGAAGCATCTAGCAACCTGTCACAGAAGCTACCCATGTACCCCTCCCCAACCCCCCACCCCTCACTACCAAAAACCAGGCTGTGCCAAGCCAACATAATGGGTCAGGGAGAGGTGTGGGGTTGTTCTGGTTTGAAAACCAGCGAGACACTCTAAGTCAGAAATACAATTTATTGGGAAAAGGGAAAAGAGACAAAATACATGCAATAATATAAAAGGAAGACCACCGACAAAGTCAGAATACAACCTGACACCCCTTTGGCCAGCGTGTTGGTAGCAGTCCAAATTGGAGTGGCTGCAGTCCTCTTGGAGTGGCAGATGTGGTTTCTGTTTGAGCAGTGGCCCTGTAGAAAAAGTGTAGTCAATCTAGTGGAAAATCCCAGCTGTGTCCTCTTGGAAACCTGTGGGAAGGCTGCCTCTCTGTCTAAAAATCCCAGCATAGATCTAGGTGGGAACGCTTAGCTGCTCCCCCCTGGGCAGAGCATCTCACAATGGGCTGATGTCATTCTGACTCATGTGGTGGGTACTTGATCACCTGTTAAACTGGCTCCTGGATGGAGTTACCTCTGAGTCATGTGGGAAGACATTGATGGGCCCATTCACAGGAGATAAGGAAAATTGCCCAGAGAATAACTGCTACAAAGATGGCAATAGAAAACTTCTTGCTCTCAATCTCGGAGAGGGGTCCAAGAACACACCAAGCTAGAAATGAGGGCCAGCTTCAAGTCTTTGTCTGAAATCGGAGGTCCTCACAGGCTCCACTGAGATGCCAGTTTGTGCTCTTGCCTGTCTCTGGAAGCTGTTTATGGCTGGACAGCCCAGGACACCACTGGTACAGAGTGACAATTGGGCAGAGTTCATCCAGCTTCCTAGTGCTGCCCAAAGAAGCAATGCCCCCTGGCTTCTCCAGCCACACCATCCAGCCTGCTCCCCCTTGACAGCAGTGACTTTCAGGTGGCCCACCAAGGGACTGAGGTATGGCCTCATACCCACAGAAGCTATTCCTAGCTACATGGCATCTGGCCATTGCAAAGCACTGGCCACCTTGTAAAAGGCAGCAGGAGTACAAATGGAACTTGCATTTGTCCAAAGTGACTACTCCAAGGGAAATCTGTGGGTCTGTAAATGGCGTTTCCCATCTGATAAGGATGAAACATTTCCATCCCCAGCAAGACCAGCAAGGAGGAAAGCTCAGTTTCACATGGTCGCACTGCACCATACCCAGAGGAGCAGCAGTGTAAAACTCCCTGTACAGTGGCTGCAGGGGAAACTCCTTTTGTGTGGGTCCCTCAAAGAAGGCAGGACATTGGCTTCTCAATGACAACAATAAATGTAGTTTATCCAAGGATATACTTCTAATTTAGAAGTGATTAGCAACTTGGAAGACCAAAGCTAAGACATCTATAATTGCAGAAGTGGATACAAAACGAGGGAATTCCATCACATGGCTGCAGAGACTGTTAAATCAGTGTTGTAAGGCTCAGTGCAGCTCCAGAAGGGTTAAATCCTTTCCTTTAGAAGACAAGAGCAGCCTGCCTGAACTGGCAGGTACAGATAGTGTCACTATAGTGTTGCAGAGGATAGATAGATATGATTGTTATTTTAGCTAGCCAGATGTCACTTCTACCCTTGGATGAATCCTGGAGTGAAATGGACTGTTCCATCCCACCCTGCAAAAGATTGTGGTTCATCCCGCACCTCTGTACCTGCCCCTAAAACAGAGTCTGTAACCCCATTGGCCCATACCTTGTCCCAGCCCACCTGGGAGCCCCTAATAAGGGGGCTCTGAGCGGCCATGCAGCCTCTTGGCCCTCTCCTCCCCTCTTGGACTTCCTCCCTCCCTGGGGCTTCCCCTCTCCTAAACCCTCCGTTTCTCTCTCCCCTCCCCCATCCTCCTAAGCCCGGCCACGTGCTACGCCTGAGAGCACGAGGCTCGAGCATCCCTGAATTCTCCAATAAACCTCTTCCCCCAAGAGCAAGCTTCAGAGATCTCTGCCTCCCAACACCCCCAACCGTGCAACAGGAGCCTACTCTTCCCTCAACTGGCGCCCAACGTGAAAGAAAAAGGAACCCACGAATTTCGACACCTCCATGCACGGTAATTACCTGTGATAGCCTCCTCTTCGCTCTGAGCACAGGCTGTCGTTGCTAAGCAACGTAGAAGCCTTATCTCTTTAAAGTTTGCCGAGGCATTTTACCCTCGAGCACCATCGCCTGTAAATAGCCGGCTTTTGGAGCTCTTGGGACTGCCTGAGCAAGGAGCTGTGAGCTGGTGGCACGTGGCCACGTTAAGAGAGCGCACCGAGCACTGCCTAGCACTGCCTGCGCTGGAAGCCCCGAGGGGGGAGGTCTGAAGGTCCCGAGCACGGAAAAGCCGTCCGGAGAGACGCCCGGAGCTCTGAGGGGACCTGTGCAGAGTCCTGAGGAGAGGATCTCTGCTTTTGCGAACTCGAGGT